ACACACACACACACACACACACACACACACACACTTTTGATTTAATTTCTATTTTGGTGTAGAAATACATTTTGTTTACCATTTTATACAGAAATGCTTTTGCCAGGAAAAACCCCCTCAGAATTGGGTTCCATATTTTGTTTTTAAGAATACAAGTGGGTTAATTTTCAAGTTCTATTTTTCCATGCTTAAATTCTGTAAGAATAGATTGTGAGTTGTTAAAATTAAGTAATATTTGTCAGTGAACTTCATCAAATAATTTGAACTGGTTTAACCGACTACAGAAGTCACAGTGCATGTTTTTGTTCTTTGACTGGAGGAACCATGACACCTGGAATCATGTTTTAGGTAAAAGCTCTCAAATTAAGTTTAAAATTTCAGTCTACAAGTATCTGGAAATAATTGGTTAAATTTGGCCAGTATTCCAGTTTAGTTTTCCTGAATCCATGAGCTCTAACATCTGTAACTCTAGCAGGCTAAACTGTAATTTACTTTATATTGATAATTAGAGAAGTTTGTGGAGTCTGACTTCCTTAGAAAACTTGTAAGTATGCTTTTCATGGTTTGAGCTAGTGGTTTGAGTATTAACAGCACATAACTATGAAATTTCATTTGTTTGCCATTCTTGTGTCTAGAATCCCTGGAGATTATATCCACAGCAGCAAGTCACTCCAATAGTGCAATCCGAAAAATGGTAGGTGGCTTTTAAGCGTTTTCCCTTTTTTGTAGCCCTGTGTTCTTAGTACTGTATAGTAAATACCGTGTAAATTAAGATGCTCTGTGAATTGAGTTTTACCAAATCTGTAGAATATCAATTTTTCTAACAGGTGAATTGGCAAATTTGGTTTCTCTACTTCAAAGTATAGAGGTCACTATTAGCCTTTTTGGGTGCTTATAGATGTGCTCGTTCATGTTCTAATTAGTGTCAGAACAGACAGATTAATCGACTCTGCTCCCCATTCTAATTAAAACGTCCCAGTGTTGCCTCACCATCACATGCATTAAGTACATGAGCCTTTCAAAATGGCCTTGAGGGCACTTTATCTAAACCTGATCAAATGAGCTTTAGATAAAGCCATTCCTGCACCTGATCCTGCCGCTGTTTTGAAATGTGCAGGGGCTTAATACATGTGACAGGTATCCCAGTGGCTCTCTGGGAACCACTCTAATTAACACCA